TTTTTCTTTAAGGAAAGTTTGTTAAGTAAGTTTTTAAAACTAGATGTAGTATGTTCTCTTTTCAACCAGTTAACCTAACTATACTTGTGATCCCTCAAAGTAATGGCCAATTTGAATTTAGAAAATACTTTCTTCTAGTCCACCTGCTTTTTTTTGTTTGTCCAGAGATCAGACAAAATCAGATGCCAGGGTGAAGGATTGCTCACTCTGAAACAGAACAGGCTAACCTGGTTCACTTCAGTAATTGACAGAAAATTGAAAAATGATTGCTCATGTAACTTAAAGGTAGGGCATTTGATTCAGGAGAATTTGATCATAAAGGAAAAAATAATAGTTCACTTTGGATGGTTCTTTCATTTCTAGTGTTGTTTTTAGCACAGTTTTATTCAAGTAGATATAGGAACTGCTCCCTTCCCAAAGACTAGGTTTTTTAGTATTTGATTAGTATTGCTACCTATCTTAAGATGGATGAAAGAAAAAGTTGTTGCAAGATTTTGAATTCAATGTTAGCTTTTTTTCTTAGGAAATGAGGCCCTTTTCTCATTGGAGACTGCATCAGATTATGTGAAAGATGACAAAGCTTCTTTCTATGGTTTCAAATGTTTTGCAATTGGATATGAGTTTAGCCCCGGACCTGATGAGGTAAGAATGAACTATCTTCTCATTCTGTTAAGGAAGATTGTGTTTCTAAGGGCTGACTTAAATGTATTTGCTGCCTTAATTTAAGAAGTCAGAAGTTTATTTTAAACTGAGGTGTATAATTTAAAATATTTTGTACTTTAATTGTGTGCAGTCATTGGTTTTTGCTACTTTCAATACATAAAGAGAATGGAGTCTATGCAGCATGACCCAATCTTTGAAGACCTAGTATACTTGTAGTTGTACCTGTTCCAAACCTGCTCAGGTCTCTCTACCTTTCTGAGTAAATAATAGAACCTGATTTCACAAAGGGGCCAATTCAGTATCTCTTCTGAGTGTTTCAAATCATACAATAAACCAAAATCAAGGTGAAAAAATGATCATGTTTCCTCTAATAAACGAATGAAAAATTCTTTGGACTGTGAACCTGTGGGCCTGAACCTTACAGCCAGCATGAGACATGACATTGAACCACTTCCACTCTTAATTTAACCATGTTTCCCTCCACTTTCAAAAGTTATGCTTGTATGCAAGTCACATTTGTTGATAGTGCACATTATCTTCCAAACATGTTTTAAAGCATATGACATGTTTTTGCAATTCTACAGGGAGTCATTCATTTGGAAAAAGAATTAGCTAATCTTGGTGGGGTTTGTGCAGCAGCTTTGATGAAAAAGGACCTAGCACTTCCTATTGGTAAGTCTGTTGAAGTATTAGGTGTTTATATATGATGTTTTTGTTATTTTTTTAATTTTAAAAATAGAGTATGTTTATTATGAAAATAGACTAGCAAAATGAATTTCATAGTCACATAACACTCGTTGACCAATAGCAGTTTAGTGTACTGGTAGTTTGGGATTTTTTAAATGAAGACGGAAGAGTATCCTTTGGGCCAGGGGTTGGCAAACTTTTGAGATGGAAGAGCCAATCCTGTCCCTCACAACAATTTAAAAATTATTTGAGAGCCATAAAACAAATGAAATCACCATTGTGTGAATAATGTCCTTTAAAAATTTTATAAGTGAAACTGATAGTTTTATTTTCATTTTTTTTTTAATTGTTAGTTTCAGGTGTATAGAACAATGCAAGTTATCCTTTTCACCCTCACAAAGTAACAACCCCCCTCCCCCCATGCACTGCCCTCCCACCCCCGATATCATGCTTATCTATTACAATTACATTGATTCCATTCCCACTCTCTACTCCGTGTCCCGTGACTATATGTATATATAATTATAGTTGACACAATATTATTCAACATCAGCTTCAGAAATACAGTGCTGTGGTCAGGCCTCTACACCGACTATGAAGTGGTCTCCCCAACAGGACATGAGTCCATCTGGCCCCCTAAGAAATATTTTCAACATTATTGATTAGAGCCACAGGTATGTATCCAAAGAGCTGCATGTGGCTCGCGAGCCGCAGTTTGCTGACCCCTGCTCTAGTCTTTTGTATTCACACACACACATATGCACAGAGATACCCTCCTTTGTCCATATACATACTGTGTGCCAGGCTCTGGGTTAAGCACTGGCCATAGAGTATTAAACCACAAGTGTGAGACATTTCTTAAATATTCTAGTGGACATATCAAGTAGACAATTGGAACTCATTGGAGCTCAGAGAACAAGTCAATGGAAATGTCATTTGAACATAGTTGATATTTAAAGACATGGAAATAACGAAAGTGTCCTGCAATAGATGATTGGGTAAAGAAGATGTGGTACATATATACAATGGAATATTTACTCAGCCGTAAGGAAAGATGACGTACTGCCATTTGTGACAACATGGATGGATCTTAAGATTATCATGCTAAGTGAAATAAGTCAGACAGAAAAGATCAAGAACCATATGATTTCACTCATATGTAGAATATAAAACTGAAAGCAACAAATAAGACAAACAAACAAAAAAACTAATAGACACAGACAATAGTTTAGTGGTTACCAGAGGGTAAGGAAGGTGGCGGGGAGAGTGGTAGAAGAGGGTAAAGGGGGTCAAACGTATGGTGATGGGAGGAGAACCAATTCTGGGTGGTGGACACACAATGCAGTATGTAGATGATCTATTATAGAATTGTACACTTGAGGTCTATATAACTTAACAATGTCACCCCGATAAATTTAATGAAAATTTAAAAAATAAAAAAATTTAAAATAAAATCCATGGCCAAGTAAATAAATACATGGAACCATATGAAAGATGAGTTAGGAAGAGAATGCAAATGAAAAAGAGAAGAGCCCAGGATCAAAGCTGGGCCAAAATTTCAAAGCTGGACTTAATAGGAAGAAAAAAACTGCAAAAAGACTGTGAAGGAGCAGCAGCCCGTGAGGTAGGTGCAGAACCAGGAGAGTGGATGTTCGTGGGATTTTTGAATGCCGCTGAGAATTCAGTTAAAACCTGTCACTGGATTGAAAAACTTCTTGATTGTTTATATATTCAATAAGAAATATATCAGTAAAATGAGAGAAATATAAGGCATTTTAGATCAGAGTGAGAGAATGGAAAGTCAGGAAGGGGGTGGGGCATCAGGTTGAATATAGATAGCTCTTTGGAAGAGTTGTCGTGTGAAGCAGAGCAGAGAAATGAGGCGGTGGCAGAAGTGGCACCTCTTCATATGATACACATTTGTGTGATATGTAAGTTGATTTATAATCAAGATGGCAAATAAGAAAATGAAGTTAAAAATATTTGCTAGTTCTGTGATGTTTATACATGGTCTAACATTTTATTTTCACAGTATTTGGGAATAAAAGCTATTACTGTTATATTTCCCTAATGCTCACCCTCAAAAGTTCATCTACATCTCCTCCCTCTGAGACTGCCCTTCCCACTTGATCCTTTCTTTCTTCACTTTCTCTACTCTTTTCTTCCTTACCTATCTTTCTTCTTCCTGCTCCCTTTCATCCACCCCGGTTCCCTTTTGATATATGTCTGAGGAAATGAGACATTTAGTATTCTGTTCACACAAGGAAAATTAGTACAACCTCTTTGCAGGAAATTTGTCAATAACTGTTCAAATTTTACATGCATATACTTCTTGATGTAGCAATTTCTTATACATACTTGTAAAAATGCTAAAAAAGTATATGTTGTAAGATAGATTAATATAACAGTGCTTGTGATTAGAAAACCTAGAAATAACCAAAATGTCTATCAGTTGGAAACCGGTTGAATAAGTAATGGTTCATCCATACAGTTGGAATGTACGTAACTGTTAAAAAACAACAACAAAAGTAGACCCCTATGTCTTGACCAAGAAAGATGTCCAAATTCTATTAACTGAGATAAGCAGTTGCAGAAGAAGGTCCCATTTTTGCAAACATCATCTTCTGTATGTATAAATATGTGTGTATGTGTGCACATGTGTGTATGTTGACACACATATATACGTTTATTTGCACACAGTTTCTAGAATAGTACATAACAAACTTGACACTGTTTATATTTAGGAAGGGAGATGTGGCAGAATTATTCATTCTATACTTCAGTATAATTGGAATATTTTCCTTTCAACAGTTATTACTTTAGTAGTAATATTTTATAAATTAAACTATCAAAGAAAATTCAATAAATATGTTCTATATTAAGCAATAAAAGAGAAAATGGCTAGAAGATATAGTCACTACCTTAGGTTTTCCTGCAAGTTACTGCTGTTTAGCAAACATTTATAGCTCTTCTATAAGATAGCCAAAATAAAATGCTCAGATTCTGAATAATCAGTTTCCGCATTTTTTTGTGGAAAATGAGGAATACTCAAAAGTTACAGATTTCTATGCATAAATATAGTATAAATCTTTTGCAAGTCATTCGGATACATTTTGAGTTTTGAGAATTATAGCTTATATTCACACTGAAAATTACATTTTAAAATGCAAACCACTGAGATTTATGCAGAGCAATAATAGTTCTTTTCAGTTTGAAATATCAGAATTGTGAAAACAGTATAAAGAATGCAAAGGACTAGAAAGTTAAACTAAGTATTGATATATTTTAGTAAAACTTTTATTTACACAACAGGTAATGAATTAGAGGAAGATCTTGAAATTCTTGAAGAGGCTGCATTACAGGTATTGTCCAAACATTGTAAGGATAAACTTTGTACATTAATTTAAAAGCAGTATATTCATTCAGATCAGCATTACTTTTCTTGAAAATAGGACTCATTCATTATATACTTCATTCTAGTTATTGGCGAATATACAGATAAATAACTTATCATTTCTCCCATTGATGGGAGAGACACATCTGAGCCAGTGCTGTACTGCACGGTGGGTGCTAACTGGAGTGAGACATGAATCCTACGGGAGAAAGAAGACCTACAAGTGCCAGGGGTGCAGGGGAAGGCCTTGCAGAGCTGTGTGCGTGCAAAGCGGATCTTGAAAGTTTTATTTGCCAGTTAGGAAAAGGGGAGAAGAGGTTTAGTAGTAATTTAAATAATGCCTAGAGAGCACTCTATATTTTACAATATCTTTATTATTTACTTATTTTTGCAGTTAAACTTTGAGGTCAGCATTCTGTCTCATATCTTACAATCACAGTAACTGAAGTTCTCAAAAGTTATGTGACTTGTCTAAGAATTCAGCTAATTGGGATGTAAAGGCTAGTATCTAGTCTTCTAATACCTACAACTAATGGTTTATATTGTATTTCCTGAGATAAATTGATCACAGCATCAATAATAAAAACAAACACTTACTTGCCCTTACCTTTATCAAGCACTGTTTCATACACTTTACATATTTTTAATTCATTTAGTCCTCACTCCTCTGTATTAGAGACCCTTATCTCCATTTACAGATAAGGAAAGTGAGGCAAGGAGAGTTTAAGTAATTTGCCCAGAATCACACTGCTAGTAAGCAGCTGAGTTAGAATTTGACCTCTGGGAGTTAGGTAACAAAGTCATGATCCAGATCACGATGCTCTAATCATAGGGAGTCTTGGTGTCCTCGATAATGTTAAACATTTCTGGGTTTTGAAAACCCACCAGCTTTTGTTTTTGTTAAAAAAAAAATAAAAAACCTTTGTACCTTAATATACAAAAATAAAAATTCAAGAAACAATAAATACAATATGTGTTATACAGCATTCTAGTTAAGGAGATCCATGAAAGAATTCATATATTATTCATTGTTGCAGGGATTATTATGGTTTATAAAATGTCATTTAGGCCAGATATAAAGAGATCTTTATTGTGCTACTTGTCCCAAATTGCCTACCTTTTTGGCACGTAAGGTAGTTGTGGTCTAACGTGTATTGAACACCTACTACTTGTAAGCAATGTAGTGTGCATTTTATATGTGTTATTCAACTTCAATTTTGTAATAACCACAGAATAGAAATATTATTTAATCACAAGTTCATACCTTTTACAGTTTCAAGAAGGTCTGTAACTTGTTAGCTCACGAGCACACAGCAATAACTTGTCCAAAGCGAGGATTCAAACTCAAGTCTGTTGATTTCAAAGATTATTATTTTGGAAATTGCATAACTCATAGAGCACAGAAATTACTGTTGTAGAAATTAGTACTGGTAGTATGATCCTTTTCTATGAGAAATATTTTGTTTTGAAATATATTATATAGTCATTAAAAGGGTTTCAGCATTTAAAGCAGGTCTTTCCAAAACATAGGCTTGCTTGCCAAATAGGTAAGGAATAAACTTTCAGTTTTATCTGCCTCATTTTCTTAACTTTAATCAGTCTTAGACATGCTAATGCAGTTTATTTGCAGCCACCATTAAGTTTCCATCCACTTTTTGCCCAAGCCAAGACCTTGGTCCCCACCTACCCAAGAGAGCACACACAACCATGATAGCTGCCAATAATGGGGACACAAAAAGAGGGATACCTCCACAGCTTCCCACAAAAGGGCGCTCTGGCCCTGACAAATGGGGATGTAATGTGTAGGGAGCGGGCTAGCTAGTGTGGGAGGAGATGCATCATTTCAGCTAGCATGCAGATCTCTAATGAGTCACTTATTTTTGTGAGAAGAAGGACACTGGAAATATTCCATATTTTTTTCCTCCTGGAAATTTTCTATTTTATAAGTTAAAGGAACACAGGAACATGGGGAGAAAATTATTTCCCCAAAATGGCCTGTAGAAAATCGTGTGCAAGTTCAGAAATTCGTGCAATTAAAGTTTTATATTTTAAAGTATATAAATGTTCTCTTTTACCTAACAGGTGTGCAAAACCCATTCTGGTATTCTTGGAAAGGGTTTAGCTCTTTCTCATTCACCAACTATATTAGAGGCACTGGAAGGAAACTTACCTCTTCAAATCCAAAGCAATGAACAGTCCTTCCTGGATGATTTTATTGCTTGTGTTCCCGGATCTAGTGGTGGAAGGCTTGCAAGGTATGCACTTTAAGTACAACAGGGCTTGCCTCAGTCTTCATTGCGGAAGAGAAATGAAAGGGGAGTCATTAGGATATTAACATGCTGCCTCAAATAATCTGGTTTATGTGTTTTGAACTTGCTGAAATATAAAATAGTTAATATTTCAAAATATATTTAAAATGTATGAGAGTTGTTAGTTGATTATTTTAAAGTTTCCTACATGAACTTTAAAATACATGTGTAACACATGGTATAATTGAGAAGTCTGCGTATTGGATAGTAATATTTTATATCTAATTAAACACCTGAATTTATTACTGTATTTTATTTTGATATGTGTTTTTTTCAAATCTACAATTAATACAAATGTAAATTTAGAATTTAAATCAAATCATTTGATGTGTAGTGTTTTCAATTATTCTGTCGCTGTTTGTTTTTCTTTTTAAGATAAAGAAAAATATGCTGTCTTGTGTGATTTTACTAGTAAATGTAGAAATCTAACTTCTTTCTGGTTTTAATTTTCAAAATACAGAGATTACTCTTTAGTTTTTAAAAATCAAAATGGTGATTGGAGAAGAATGGAAAACATTTTATGTCAGCCTCACTGTTTTGTCTTTGTAGACATTTTTATACATAGCAGAATTACTTATTACTTATCTCACAGAACAACTTGAATGTAGATCATGGAATGAATTCAGGAATGGTTTTCACAAGTATAGAAAATTGGTAAAATTTACATGGAAAGGAAGGTAATGAGGGAAGATAGTTGAGAAATTGTATAAAGAGAAGATGGCAGGACATCTGCATCTTTAACCTGACCACTCTCAAGGAAGCAGAATGCCATTTCTGCTCCGATTTTTGCAGAGAAGCGGCTCTTTTCCAGATTTCCAGGCTGGCAAGTTAAGGCAGAGCTCCATCAGTAAGAATGAGTGTCCTCAGGACTTCAAATTACACTCAACCTAAATTCATTTCCTTGGTTATTTTAATCTAATCATAGTTAAAATTTTGTTTTCTAGTTTTAAAATTATTTCTGTTTTATTTGTAAACCTCAGAAATCTTCATGGGCTTTGGCATATTTTTAAATTAATTGGTCATTAAGGATTTCCAACGAAGACACTTGTCATTATTACTGAATCAGAAATGAAGTTATTGATTTAGTATTTTGTTTGATACATGTTTTATTCGCTTGGCATATAATCATTGAAGATGTTAATGACTGACTTTTTTGTTTGCTTATTTCTTACCTTACCGTGCTAGGTGGCTTCAGCCAGATTCCTATGCTGATCCTCAGAAAACATCTTTGATCCTGAATAAGGATGATATTCGTTGTGGTTGGCCAACCACCATAACTGTTCAAACAAAAGACCAGTATGGGGATGTGGTACATGTTCCCAATATGAAGGTAATTATATCAAAATTAAATTGACATCTATGTATTGACTGTTGTAACTAGTAATATTTTAGAAAGAAATGGCAAGTGCCTAGAGTTCATTTGCAATACTCTCTTTATATGTATATAATGGAGGACACCAAAAAATTGTTTAAATGACTTGTTTATATTACTTTGTACCTAGTTTTCCAAGTTATATTTTGTTTTTCATATTTTGCTAGGTGCTATGGTGATGCAAAGGAAATATAAAAAGGTGTCCATATAAAGGGTGCTAAGCACATAGGGGGAAAGCCCTCAATACACAGTGATTGAATAAATCAATAAAAGAATACATTTAAAATTTTGTATTTATTTTTTAAAGGACTCAAATATATTTTGCACTTGGTACTATTGAAACATTTGAAATATAGTAATGATACTTATTAAATAAATTAGAAATAAATGAATTTGGATTGTAAAAGAATAGAAATGGGAATAGTCACATGCTGTATTGATGAATATGATTCTTTGTATACCTTTCCTGAGACATTAATTAATAATAACATTAGCATATTGTAATGTGTAAAATTATGTCTTTTGTGATATAATCTAGTAATATAAATAGCTCATTTAAAACTTTTGTTATATTTCTGAAAAAAATCAATATTGAATGAAAAATGTAGGCAATTCCCAGCTGCCCCTGCCCCTCAAAATTGTATTACTATGTAATTTGATTGGAGCTTAGAGTTCATTAAGCAACAAAATCTCTTTTACTTACAGAGCACCTAATTTTACCTCAATATTACTTTAAGTAGAACTATTTCAACTACTTGGTACATGCTTTGACTTATACCATGAAGAAGCACAATGCCAGTGAAACCTTTTACCTGACTAATAGTAAAAAAAAAAAAAAAAAGACATGAGACATATAGTTTACGCGTCTTAAGACCAGTAAATAAAACTGTGTGGAAAAGTATTTGACCCTGATCCTAAATGAAAATCAAGCTTTACCAGTGGCTTTCAAGGTTTTGGCCATGACCTACAATAAGGATTTCAGTCATGACCCAAACATAACACATATAGGATGGAATAGTATTACTCTTAATTACATACAACATATATATTTACACAGTACGCTGCACTACATTTTCTAATTTTTTTAAGGAAGATTGTGCACCATCTCAGTGATTTCATGCCTACTGTGAATTCACTGGAATGCAAAAATCAAATTATAAGAAAAAAATGAGTAAAGAATAAAGTAATCCTGATAGTGATAAAAACAAAAAAGAAATGATACCAAGGACAGAATTTTTATCACAGTACAATAAACTAGTACGTTAAAGGGCTAATGTATTTATTCACTGATGAATTTCTCACTTAAGTGTATGTAGTGAGTGGTTAAATCCAGTCTTTGAGTCTACAATAAGTTCCTTATTTGTGTAACTACATTGTAAAAATCATTTTCCATGTCAGCATAACATTTCTTTTAAATATTCATACTGTTGAGTGGCTCAGTTGGTTAAGAGCTCACTCAAGAGCTTGAGCTCTGAACAACAGCAGTTCAATTCCTGGCCCGAGCTGAGCAGCCACTGAGCTGCCAACAGGTGGCAGGATGGCTCAGCTTAAAAAAAAAAATTAAATGTTCATACTGTTAAACTTTAAGTCTTTCTTTAATTTTATTTTTTTATGTTTCCTCCTTTGCACCTTTTGCTGTCTCTTACTCCATTTTGGTGTCTGGGTGGTTCATAGCTTACATTTCAAGTCAGACTTTATGCTTTATCTTTTATGCTCTCCTCCTCTTTGGTTTGTTTTTTCTTTTCTTTTAATTGCCCACATGACCTATATCTATCTTTTTATCCTTCCTCTTTTTCTCCTGTATGTTTTGCATCTCCTACTCTGCCCTCTTTTACACTAAACTTTTTATTCATTATTCTCAAAATCCATATCAGATTTATCTGTTTTATAAACTGTACCTAGGAAAGTCCTAAAAATATTATTTAGGAAACATGATTTGCATACTTATTGATGTTAAATTTATTAATATCATATTATCGTATTAGCTGAAAACAAAATTAACTTAATCTTTTTATTTTCAGCCTAACAGACAGCACATGAAGTTTTAGGAGCATTTTATTTTATTATTTTTTTAAGATTTTATTGGGGAGTTGGGGAGGGGAACAGCATTAGGGAATTGAGGAAGGGGAACAGACAAGTTGCTGTCCTTTTTTTCTTTAGTTGTGGAGGATGTCGCTTCACTGGCCCACGTTGGTATTGTGATCATTGCACTCTTCCTGGGTGAGGCAGTCGCTTGCTGGCCATTGGATGGCGGCTCATGGCAGCTCACACTGGCTGCCAGCCACTCACGGTAGCTCACAGCAGCCCACTGCAGCAGGGGCTGCAGCCTATGCTGTCGCTGGCGACTCACAGCAGCAGAGCTCCAGGTTGAGCTGTTGTTTACCATCTTAGCTGTAGAGGGTGCAGTGTCACTGGCCCTCATGTGGGAGCTGAACCGGTGCCCTGTTGCTCACAAATGGCGTCCCAAGCCAACTCTTAACCAACACGCCACTCAGCCAGCCCAAAGAGCATTTTAGACTTATCAAAATTTGTTGAAATATCTTTATGTAATAACAGCCAGTTATTCAAAACATAAAAATTGCTTTGCAGCTATTTCAGTGAGATCTAAAATGCTTTTTTAAGTAGCAAGTGATATTGTTACTTTTTAACTTATAAAATGATTATTTCAAGAAAATCTTATTTAGTGAAAAGAGACAGCACATAGGAAATAGAATAACAAAAAATGTTTAAAGAAGCACAGTTTATAAAAGAAAGCAGAATATTTATCATTCTATAATATTTTAGAAGTCAGCATATAAAATTGTTCAGTTGTTTACTTGAAGGTTCATAGTGCACAGGCAAGTACGTATACTTCATGTGTTAATTTACTTAGAGTAAATATAGTTGTTTAAAGAAAGGTTAAATCAAAATAGTATGTAAAAAAATGGTGGCAGTGTATATGAGTTGAAGAATTTTACTATACATCTTTAAACTTCTGTGTTGTAAATAACATAGATGGGTTTTTGATGTTTTCAGGGCATTATGTCAGTTCAAATACTGATCTCTCATAACCCCAACTAAAGATTGTGGTTATTTAATGGAACATATTTGCCAGCTGCACCTAATTTTATGTCGGCAGTCAGAGTCCCATAATACTACTCCCTAGAATGGCGTGAATAAGAACATTAAACATGAAAGATATTCCACAGTTCTGGGATGCCCCTTAATTATTAAAGTAATACTGTTACTTTCATTTATGTTACCCTTATTATTTCTGTCAAGATCCTATTGTTGAATTAGGTGTCCTTAACAACCACAAAAGTAGTGTTTGAAAGGAACAGAAGAAACTTTGAACCTGAGATGATGATACCTGATGAACTAAAGCGGTATTTAAATTGCTTAGCAGATGGCTGGTTAGCTCTCAGTTGGTTAGAGCTTGGTGCTAATAAATTGCTTATAACTTTGTGGTTGCCTGTCAAGTGGTTTTTGCTCATGCGTAAACAGATATACAAGCAACAATAAAATGTTTTATTGTAATTCCTGGAAAGTATTTCTGAGTATTGTTTATAAAATAATTTGTACTTTCAACAAACTTACGTTATTAAATCTATTTTTTGCATCTGTACAGTAAGGTAGATGAAAGATAACCTCATTTTATTGTTGAAGAAATTGAGCTGGAAAACCTAATTAGATTGCTTAGATCAAATAGATTATGTTGATGACAGAGCTGTCTAATAGTACTCTTTCTTCACTAGAGTAAATAAAAATCTAGGCTTTAGGTATAAGATTTGTTTTATTATGTGTTCATTTTTAAGACATCAATGGAGTACATTTTCTTCTGCAGAATGGTTAAAATTGAGATTAGCACTTTAAAATATGTGGAGATTGTGAGAAAATATTTATACTTAAGTTACCTGATAAAATAACGTTAGTCCCTGCAAAAATTCAATGCAGATTTATTCTACCATCCATTCCTGCACTTTATTGATGGTGGCATTTATTTTTATTTTATGTTTTGATATCTGTGATTATTTATTCTAAAAAACAAGGTCTGTCTTTTGCACTGTGTTCACATCCATATTGTGGAACCATCTTAAGGTCATTCTGGCACTGCTACATACGCCTTTGAAGAGAATCCCCAGGATGGGCCAATGATAACAAAAAATTTATAGAAATTGTACATAACTGTAAATTGCTTCTTTTGATGTGTTACGGACAATTATATAATAATAATATTTGCTTTTTATGATATCATGGTTAGGTGGAAGTGAAAGCTGTTCCTGTTTCTCAGAAAAAAACATCTTTACAACAAGAACAAGTAAAGAAACCTCAAAGGATCCCTGGCAGTCCTGCAGTAACTGCTGTACCTTCTAACACTGACATGACTTTTGGCGGGCTGGCGTCACCAAAGCTGGATGTTTCCTATGAACCAATGATAGTGAAAGAGGCCCGATATATTGCCATAACAATGATGAAGGTAATTTATTTTACTTATCAGGAAAAATTTGTTTTTTACCATTTATTCATTTAATAAGCATTTCAGTGATTCAAATTCAGACATAAAATTACAGATGTAGAGTTGTTGATAGATGTAAAACTTGCAAGATATTTTTTAGAATGATATTATTTCCCTACAAAGATGATTTTTGTTTGTTTTTGGAAGATGCCAAAAGGGATTACCAATAATAGATTAAGTTAATCCAATCAGAGATTGAGATAGGTGGAAATGAATTCAGTTCCTGCAAAAGTACCTGTCTATTTGCAATTTACCATTATTCTTAAGACATAGCCCTTCAAGAATTCAGGGTTTATCTAAGCCTCCTTCAATTTGGGGGTTCTCCCAAATGCCAGGCTCATCTCTTTTGGTTCTGACTTCTGGCTTTTTAGCTTACTGGTGCTTTCAAACAGATATAAAAAAAGATATATTTTGTCCAGTTTTTTTAGTAATATCCAGAGGCAATGTTAGTCTAAATTATCAAAATGGTATTATTTGAAGCATAAGTTGGGAATTTTGCCATTATCAGAGTGAAATGGTGAGCCATTCAAGGAGCCATTCATTTAGAGGCATGACACCATTAGATTTTTTATAATGATCGTGGTAGAATATGGAGAATATAAATTGGCTGATAATGAAGAAACATGGTTTGGTTTAAGTCTTTTTAGGAGACTATTGACTTAGTCTGGTGAGATATGCTGATCCCTTGGACTAGTGAGTTGTCAGAATAAATTCAAGAGATATTTAGGCTCAGTAGAGCTTGGTGGCTAATGGAGATGGAGTAAAACAAAGAGGTAGAAAATAAAAGATGAAACTCGCATTTTGAATTTGAGCAGTAAGATTGATAATTTTGGAAGAGGGGCAGGCTTTTGTTGAGGAAAATAATAGTTTTGGATGTGATGAGTTTTAGATATCTCTGAAATATCCATATGAAGATTTCTATAAAAGGAAGTTGGATTATAAACCTGAAGTGATCACAGTCTGATTTCCAGAAAAGGATTTGAGAATAATTAGCACTTGGATTACTTAGAAAGATAGATATCTACCTTATTTCCCCATGTAGAAGACACTCCCATGTATAAGACACACCTTAATTTTGGGACCCGAAATTTGAAAAATAATGTATTACATAAAGTTATTGAACTCAAGTTTTATTCATCATAAAATTCATACAACTCCTCATCACTGTCAAAACTCTCAACCATTAGCTTTTCCTCTTCTGTGTCTGATGACGAATCACTATCTTCATAAATTGCCTCATCCTCAGTTCCATCTATGGAATTTGAAATCTACAACCACTGTGTAAGACACACCCAGTTTTTAAACCCCAAATTTTTCAAAAAGGGTGCGTCTTATACATGGGGAAATACGGTACTTATATGAGTGAAGAAAGGAGTTCTAGAATAGGATCCTAAAAAACACCAGTATCAGCAATTCTCAAACTTTTGTCTATATCAAAAAAAAGTTTAATTAATTAGAAAATTTTAAAAAAGGAATTTTGTTTATATCTGAATCATTGGGAGCACTTATTAAAAGATTTTTCAGTCATCAAAAGATTTAGATTTATTAGATCTAGAGAGAGATTCAAGAATTTGTATATAAAACAAATATGCAGGGGCCGGCCGAGTGGCTCGTTGGTTAAGAGTTGGTTTGGGAGCGCGAGCTCTGAGCAGCTGGCCCACCGGTTGGGATCCCACATAGGCCAGTGACGCTGCGCCCTCTACAGCTAAGATGGTGAACAACAGCTCGATCTGGAGCTGGGCTGCCATGAGTCGCCAGTGACAGTGTAGGCTGCAGTGGGGCTGCAGTGGGCTGCCGTGAGCTACTGTGATTTGCCAGCAGCCAACGTGAGTGGCCGGCAGCTGGTGTGAGCTGCTGTGAGCCACTGTGAGCGTCTGTCCAATGGCTGGCCACCGATCTGCCTCAGCCAGGAAGAGCACAATGATCGCAATACCAACGTGGGCCAGTGAAGTGACGTCCTCCACAACTAGAGTGAAGAACAAAAGGACAGCAACTTGTCTGTTCCCCTTCCAAGGTTCCCCAGTGCTGTTCCCCTCCCTCAATTCCCCAATAAAATCTAAAAAAAAAACCCACAAATAATTCAAGTTCAAAACCTAAACTTTGAGAAACATTGATTTACCAGATAGATAAGAGAAAGAAAAAAGAAAAAGAGGGGAGTGAGGGAGGGAAGGGAAGGGAAAAATGCAAAGGAAAAATCAAACATTGATAAGAATACTAGCCAAAGAAATAAGACATAATATAGGACCAGAGCTTATTTTTGCCACTTTTACTGCCACTTTACATATAGTAACTCATTTAATCCTCACAACAACCCTGTAAATTCTGGTTTTCCCATTTACAACTGAAGTATGGAGAGGTTAAATAACTTGTCCATGGCCACACCAATGCTGGGAGTCTGACTCCAGGTTTGATTTTCCTAACTACTGTATAGCATGTCTTGAAAGTCAAGGAAAGAGTGGTTTCAGAAGGTTTAACAGTGTTATGCTGAAGAAGTGAAGTTTTGAAAAGGATCTAGCAACAATGAATTCATCATGATCTTAGCAGGAACAGTTTTAGAGGCATAGTGGATTGATGAAGAGGAGGTGAAAATAGCTAGAAGCAAAATGTGTATAGATTGTCTTTCAAGATATTTGGTTATAAAAAGAAACAACGGACATGGAATTGAGTGAAGGCATTTGAGTTTCGGAATGAATATAGAAAGACTTACACGTTTTAATATTGATGAGGAGACAATTGAAAGGAAGGAAGCTGTGAAGATAGCCTTAGAGAAAATAATATCTAGAACTCAGGTGGAGGGGTTAGCCTTAAATAGGAGGAGTATTGCCTCTTTCATTCAGGAAAGGGAAAATAAAATAATACAGATGTAGTTAATTTGTAAATTGCAGCCAAAAAAATTATTTCTAATAGTAATTGAATGCTTTACTTTGGAGGTGGGAATGATGAATCTTAGGGTCAAGATTTTGGAAAAAATGAAAATCATTTGAAGAATTAAGGAGGACTTATCATAAAGATTTTTACGGCATCTTTGAAAAATCAGTTGAAATTGAAGATGATGCAGTGCAGTATGAATCATGAATATGGATAAGATAATTATTGGATTGATTCAGCATTTAGATTTTGCCAGATTGTTCAACAAATGAACAGTGAGAGAAGGGAGTTGAGCATTTGGTGATGGAAGAAAGGGCAGAACCTCATTGGTTTGGAAAGGATGATGAAAGAGGATTCAGAGAGAAATTTGAGGGGGTTAGGACTGGAAATTTTAAAACTGATATAGTAGGGGTTACTGAGGCAGAAAACTGAGCAGGCCGTTACAATTCTGAGTAATGTCACGGGTTTATGACTTGTATGAGTGGCTGAAATAAAGCTGAAGTTAAGATTATTGAGGTTGATGAAATGAAGGAACTGAAAAGCTGGAGTTTTGGGTGAATTGTCCACCATTAAAGAATTCAAAGCTAAACATTCTCATTCATTTCAATTTTTATTTTAGGGATTTAGTTTCTGACCTCTCTACCTCTCTAATTATTCTTAGTTTCCTATGAACATACTTCCATCTGTATAATTTCTTTTGAAAGTCTAGTTTAACAGAACTGAATGTAGTATTTTAAGAATGTTCTGAGTAGCTCAGGGTTAGCACAGTTACAGAATACCATTCCCAAACTGTCTCTGAGATATGAATTCATGTTCCAGGAAAGCAGATTTTTTTATATCACCCACTCATAGATACTGTGTGCTACTCAGTAGTGAGCCAAATACTATGGAGGATGGAAAAGTGAGATATGATATATTCTTTCATCATTAAATATAATAATATGTATTTGAGTAACAGTGGGAGTGGAAAACACATTGTATTGGAGATCTGGAAACCTGGTTTTTCCTGCTATTATCACCTTACCCTTTTACTCTTACTAGACTTAACCTTAAATTACGTTTTTCTCATTTGTAACTTTTTAGTAGATGAAGGCAGCTAGATCATTTCTAAATCATTTTTATGAAAATAGAAAAGGTGGGAAAAAGAAAGAGGGCCTATGAGTGGGTTGGGTGTGCTTCTCATTACTAAGTAATAGTACAAGTTAGAAGTGAATGAGCAGTTGGAGAACTTTACCTGAACCTTGAAAGATAATGATAAATATGGTATTAATGTTGCAGGAATACAAAAGTATCAGGAGTAATGTGACAAGTTTCATGTACCTACAGCCCATTTTTGTCTTAACATTTCACCATAATTTTTTTGTATCTTTTCATCATTTTTATTAAGAAACATATTATTACAGATGTAATTGCAGCCCTGGTCCCATTTCCACCCCTTCCCTAGAGGTACCCATTAGATATATTTTTATACTTTACTGAATACAAATTTATCTATAAGCAATATAGTTAGAATTATTTATGTTTTTCAGATATTTATAAAAATAGTATCATATGCACATATCATTTTGCCAGTGTTTTGCTCAACCCTGTTTTTAAGGTTTAGCCATAGAGCTGTAGTTCATTCATTTTAACTGCTTTAAATTAAGTATTCCAATGTATTACTGTTTCATGATTTGATCATTCTCCTATTGATGAGCACTTAGGTTGTTTCTAGTTTTTTTAACTATTATAAACTACTGAAATGAACACCCTTGTACATGTCTCCTTTTGTACCTGAGCAAGAGTTTTTTTCTCTAAGGTATGTATCTAGAAATGGAATTTCTAGATTGCAGGGCGTGCATGTATTCAGCTGTATTAAATATCTCCAAAACTTACACTCCCACTAGCAGTGTTTCAAAGTGCTAGGTACCTAATGTTCTCATTAGCACTTGATTCTTACTAACACAATTTGATGACTGTGATGTGATTATTTTATTGTTGTTTTAGTTTGCATTTCCTTGATTCCCAGTCTAGTTGAGTACTTTTCAAATGTTTATTGGCCTTTCAGATTTCTTCTTCAGTGACTTGTCTTTACTCACTTTTCTTTTGTGTTGTTTCTCTCTTTTATATTGATTATTCTTTATATATTATGGATTCATTTCCCATTTTGGTTATGTGAATTACAAATCCTCTTCTCCCAGATGAAAGCTTATCTTTGACTTTATACAGTGTCTTTGTTTTAGAGAAATTTAAATTTTTAGTGTATTCAGATTTCTTCTAAATTTGTTGATGGTGTTGTTTGTTACATTTGGGTCTTTAACACACCTAGAATTTATTTTTTGTAAATGGTGTGATGTATGTAATTTAGGTTTTTTTTTTCCTATATGGATAATCATTTGTCTTAGTACCATTTATTGAATGTTCTAACACTGCATTAATCAAGAATGTTTCTAAAGATTTTGTGATTCTTACTGGTCTCTTTCTTAAAGGTTTATGAAAATTACTCATTTGAAGAACTGCGTTTTGCATCACCAACTCCTAAGAGGTAAGGATCATTCCCTCAAAACATATCCAAAACATGTGTTGTCAACTGCTTGCAACTAAAATCATCCTGCATTTCAACTTTATTTTCCAGAAATAAACATTTTATAGCTTTTTTTAAATTCCCAGTAGGATTCATAGCAAATTTTATAATGTGTAGCTTTTCAGGTAGAATGTATTTATATTCAACTGTAATACTGCCAATATGTTTCATAATACTAAGTAGAGAAATAAATAGTAGAGAAAAAATAACTAGTTTCTAAAATATATAAATTGGCTTCTTTAGGGTTGGTTAGTTTGTTTTTTCTGTTTTTGCTTTCTTCTTTCCTTCACCTATTGAGTTGCAGAACAATTTCAGTTATGAGATCTTAATTTTATGAGGTCTTAATTTTTCAGCCCCTGTTGACTCCAGAATTAAAAAGATTTTTTGACTAATTTATTTACTGGTTAAGAGAAGTGCTTTCTAATATAATTCTTGAAAAAAATTATTACCTGGATTATATTGGATTGTCGAAAAAGTCATGATGTATTTTTTCTCTGTTTTTCATTGCAAAAATGCGTCATGACTTTTCTGACAACCCAGTATTTTAGAGAGAACCACCTCCATAGAATTTAGAAAAAGCTCTACAGTGAATCTCAAAAAACATAATTACTTATATGTTTTATTATATCATGTATCACATGACTTACTAGAAATTAACAGGTTACTATGACTTGATGCTGACATGTATGCAAAGTAAAGTTTTAATGCATAGTCTAACGAGTTTTCTGTCAACAATATCCAAGTTTTGAGACTGTATCTTTTTCTAGAAACAGGGAAGTAGCATTTTGTCCCTGGCTTAATTTTAGTTACAAAATGTCTATGCAGTGGAAGCATATGATTTTATAAAATAAATATGAATGTATAGATGTATAACATGTTAAATAAGAACAAATTGGCCATTTGCCAGTAAACAGGTTTTCATATGCATTGGGTATTTCAAACCTAATTTAAAAAGTCTCTTATCTAAGTAAATAATTTATTCATTCATCAAACACTATTAAACATCTACTCTATGGAAGGCACTGGTACAGGCTCTGGGATACTTGTATGAACAAGGTAGACAAGGTGCTGTTCTCATGGCATTTATATTGCTGTGGAGAAACAAGCTATAAATAAGTAAGCAAAATAATAATAAATAAGGTACTTGATAGTGATGGAGTTGGGGAAAGTTCATTCTAGGCAGAGAAAATCTGGGGTGGATGGAGCTCTTGATATGTTAGAGGACCAGAAGGAAATGGGGCTGGAGAATAGCAACAGGGAAAATGATCAAAGATGACAACAGAGAAGTATTTGACAGCTATAATATATAGGGACTGGTCAACTATTTTAAGGAGTTTGAATTTTCTTCTAAGCATTTTTATTTAAATAATTGTAAATGAATTGTGTTAGAACACAGCCTTGCTCATTAGCTTCTCTTTTGTCTGTGAGTTATTTCCCACTACAATGTAATACTTGTGACAGACTAAAATATCATTACAGAAAAAGGCTACTGACCCCTGGTATAGATTGTCATGATTTTTACGAGGATCCAAAAGCCTGAGAAATGAGCAGGTGGTTTTTTTTGTTCTGTTTTGTTTTGTTGGGTGCTAAGGTGAGTGGGAAATAAGAGTTCTTCTTTGGATATATTACAGTTGAGATGCCAAGATGCCTCTTAGTTATCTAAGTAGTGATATTTCCAGACCAATTGGAAATACAGTTTAAAATTCAGGGAAGAAATAAATTTTGGAGTCATCTATATGAGGTTGTATTTACAACTGAGGAATAGATCAGTGATCAACTAGAGAACTGCTATTCAAAGAAAAAAGAAGACCTAGACCCAAATCCTGGGGCATTTCATAGGTTAAAAGTTAGTCAGAAGAGAGAAAGCCAAGAAAAAATTGAGAAAGAGTGACCAGTGAGATTGGAGGAAAACCAGGAGAATGTTGCAGAAGCAAAAAGAAGGTATTTCAAGAAAGTAGGAGCTGCAGACTATCAAGTGTTACTGAGAGATTGCAAAAGATGAACAAATGACCATGAAATTTGGAGATGTGCTAGTCATCGATGACTTTGACATAAGCAATTTCAATGAAGTGTTGGGAACAAAAGCTAGTTAGGATAACTTGTGGAAGACAATTGGAAATGAGGAAATGCAGAGGGTGATTATAGACAATTAGATAAGTTTTGATATAAATGGGAAAAGAGATATGAGACCTTTTTTGAAAGGTCTATAATATCAGGAGGAGGTGTTTAAGATGGGAGAGTCTACAGTTTGATTGTATAGAGATGAAACAGAAAATAGAAATGATCCAGTAAAGTGGGAGAAACTGACGATGAATGAGAGTATAGTATTACATCATGGAAGTGCTGAAGGAATGAGATTTACAGCACAAACAGAGGGGCTTGCTTTGAATAAGACCCCAGACACTTCTTGCATTGTAACAGGAAAAAGGGTCGAGGAAAGTCAGTTTATTATTCTGATTGCAACTTTGAGGTTGTATCTCTTGTTTCTGTTTCTTACAGAAAAAGTAATGTCATGATTAGCTGAGAATGAGGAAGAGGGTTGATAGAGGTTTGAACTAAGGAAGAAAAAATGAAATTGATTCATTTTGTAGAGTAGGAAAACATATATGCAGGCCATTCATTGTAATGATAGAGTCAGAAATTAAATTTAAATGTATGCTGATGTATCTTAATGATGTTGTCAGCTATTTAACCAAAGTAAATTGTCAGCTAAAGTAAATTTTCCAATATTCATCTTATTTCTTTCAGACCCAGTGAGAATATGCTGATCCGTGTCAATAACGATGGCACTTATTGTGCAAATTGGACTCCAGGGGCTATTGGACTCTACACTATTCATGTTACCATTGATGGCATTGAAATAGGTATTTTTTTTTACGTTATGAGTTACTTGGTGCAAAGAACTACAATCAAAGTCATCTCTCTGTTGTAGTTTGCCCTTTAACTTGTATCATAGACATGGACAGGTTTCATGACTTACCTGGGGCTTTGTTTCCACTTTTACAGTGAGTACTGATTTAGTACATTCATAAGGTCTTAAAATTTTGTAATAATTCATGGTGTCATTATAGCCCACATGACTCCTTCTCTCCATTCCCTGATGTGACTGGTCAGGTGTGACCTCCAGATGTTGTGTAACTGTGTGCATACCTCATCTACCCTCATGGTATATCTGTCTTCCTTTCCTGGCTGTAGCAGAGACCATTTCATTCATTCTTCTTTGGATCTCCCAGTTTAGCTCAGTGGCTGGCAGTTAATACTTGTTGAATGCTTGCTTAATACTTATTGAATAAATGAAGTTTCTTTATCCACCACTAACTTTGAAAGTATATTGCTTTCCTTTGGGCATTAATATTTATTTTAAAACTATACATATAATAGCACAACAGTAGAACAAGAAAACTCAAATAAGTGTTTATCAATATGAATTTCTTGTGATACTATCTTTCGTGATGCTCCTCAAGAAAAAGGTTCCTATGATAAGGTAAATTTAGAAAAGCTAGTATTTTGTAGTCTCATTTTAAACCATTCATACAATTTATATTAACATATTAGGAATTCTGAGAAGTCTTGAAATTAAGAATCTTGTCTAACTTTGTTTTACTCTCACACGAGACCTTTGTATATGGGGAAGAGGGGGACAGGGTAGAGATAAAAGTAATACTGTGACTTCCGGTGAAATGACGTAATAGACACACTGTGCCATCTGCTTCCCAGGATCACACCAAAATTACAAATAATTTATACAACATTTAACCTCGCAAGTCCCCTGAACACTAGATGAACAGAACCTCTCAACGAAGGACTTAAAGAGGAGGCCACGTCGAGTCTGGTGATCTATCTAATACATCGAAGCAATCACAGAGTGACATCCAGAATGAAGAAACAAAGAAACATGTCCCAAGTAAAAGATCAGAAGAAACCTCTAAAGATGAAATTAAATGAAACAGAGGTATCCAACCTTTCAGAGACAGAGTTTAGAACACTGATGATAAGAATGTTTAAGGAACTTAATGAGGACATAAAAAAGGATAGAGAAATCATAAAAAACAACCATTTAGAACTAAAGAATACAATAACTGAAATGAAGAACACACTTGAAGAAATCACCAGTAGATTAGATGAAGCAGAGGATCGGATCAGTGATTTAGAAGACACAATAGCAGAAATCACCCAGTTGGAACAACAAAAAGAAAAGAATAAAAAACAATGAAAATAGTTTAAGAGACCTGTGGGACAATATCAAGTGCAACAACATTTACATCATAGGAATACCAGAAGGAGAAGAAAAGAAGCAAGGGATCGAGAATATATGTGAAGAAATAATGACTGAGAACTCCCCTACCCTGGTGAAGGAAATCGACATAGAAGCCCAGGAAGTGCAGAGAGTTCCAAACAAGCTGAACCCAAACAGGTCCACACCAAGACCCATCATAGTAAAAATGGCAGAGTTTAAAGACAAAGACAGAATCCTAAAAGCAGCAAAAGAAAGACAGCAGGTTACATACAAAGGAACTCCAATAAGACTAATAGCTGACTTTTCTACACAAACTCTGCAGGCCAGAAGGGAGTGGCAGGAAATTTTCAAAGTGACGCAAAATAAAGGCCTACAACCAAGATTGCTCTACCCAGCATGGCTATCACTTAAAATTGAAGAAGAGAGAAAGAGCTTTTCAGAAAAAAATAAACTTAAGGAATTCATTACCACCAAGCCAGCATTGCAGGAAATGCTAAAAGGGCTTTTTTAAACAGAAAAAAGGGGAAAACAAGCTGACCCAGGAAGACCAGAAATACAAATAACAAAATACAAATAACCAGAAATACAAATAATAAATATGCACGTATCAATTATCACTTTAAATGTGAATGGGCTAAATGCTCCAATCAAAAGACATAGAGTGGCTAAGTGGATAAGAAAACAGGACCCTTGCATATGCTGTTTACAAGAGACTCATCTCAGAACAAAAGATACACACAGACTGAAAGTAAAGGGATGGAAAAAGATATTTCACGCAAATGGAAATGAGAAAAAAGCTGGTGTAGCAATACTTATTTCAGACAAAATAGACTTTAAAATGAAGACTACAATAAAAGACAGAGAAGGGCACTACATAATAATAAAGGGATTGATTTAACAAAAGGACATAACCCTAGTAAACATCTGTGCACCTAACATAGGAGCTCCTAAATATATAAAACAGATTGTAACAGACATAAAGACAGAGATCAACACTAACACTATCGTAGTAGGGTACTTCAACACCCCGTTGTCACCAATGGACAGATCCTCCAGACAGAAAATCAACACGGAAACAGTGGCCTTAAATGACACTTTAGACCAGCTGGACTTAATTGATATTTTTAGGGCATTTCACCCCAAAGCAATAGAAGATACATTCTTCTCAAGTGCACATGGAACATTTTCCAAGATAGACCACATGTTAGGCCACAAAACAAGTATCAATAAATTTAAGAAGATTGAAATCATATCAAGCGTCTTCTCCGACCACAATGCTATGAAACTAGAAATCAATTATAAGAAGAAACCCGGAAAGCACACAAAAGCTGATGTATAATATTTGTCAACTATAATTAAATATATATATATATATATATTTATGGGACGTGGAGTATAGTGTGGGAGTGGCGTCAAGGGAATTGTAATAGATATGTATGATATGGCGGGGGGAGTGGGGCAGCGGATTGGAAGGGGGGGTTGTCACTTTGAGGGGTAAATAGCATAACTATTGCACTGTGTTGTACAGCTGAAATTAATAAAAAATGTTTATTTCACCAAAAAATATATCAAATAAATAAATAAAATAAAAGCAATACTACTGATTAATATTTCACTAAAATACCTTGGGGAAACTCTGGTGTACGTAGTTTGTTTTTACAGTTAGAGTACTTTACATTGATGTAAGTGTATAGAATATACATTAATGTTATTATAGAGAATCAGATATATCAAATTCATCTATACCATTCCAGAGACCTTTATCCTCATCCTTTGCTACACTCTCCTTTATTTCAGCATATCCATAAACCCTTTAGTTCAGCAGGCTTTTGTTCGTTCTGCACAAAACATTGTTTTGGGTGAGACAATTCCTATCAAGTGATAACAATGTACTGATGTTTGCAAGATAAAATAGGCAAACAAAATTAAGTGAAGTAGAATATAAGTAGCAAATTACAGGAATTCCAAGTTGGAAATAGCCAAGAATGACTTTGTCTTCACTAATAGTGGGATGAAGGAAACAGATACAATGTAGATAAGAAAAATCCACATAGTTGCTTTTTGTAAGAAACTGAAGAAAAGGATTCATATTTACTTGGAATCATCCATTTTTTTTTCCTACCTTTCTATTTCTAAGTCAACTTTCTCCCAAGCTGACCAAACTGTCCATAGGCTGGGATCTTGTTTGACCATAGATAGGCAAGGACAGATAGTAATTCATTAGAATAATTATGATAATAATAGCTAACATTTATTGAGCACTTAATAATGTCCAACATTGTTTTATGTGCACCTTGTATATTTCAAATCATTTTATTCTCACAACAGCCTAGTGAGGTAGGTGCTGTTCCCATTCCCATTTTATAGATGAAAAAGTTGAGGCACAGGGAGTCAAACAAATAGTGGCAAATGTGGGAACACACAAGACAGACAGTCTAATGGGAGAACCCCAGTTTTTAACCATTATGCTGTGCTGCCTGTTAGTCATCGAGATGATTGGTAGAGACGATGAGTGGCAGTCTGATCTGATGTTGTGAGATAATGTTTACTCAGATGAGGGTTTCTTTTTTTATTATTGTTTTAGTATGATTCATATGTTCCAGATAAAGAATATGAGCCCTTCCTCTTTTCCTTGAACCCCTAAGACACCCATGTGGAATCTCAGGGCCATTTCTCAAATGTTTCTCTTTTTTAGCTATAAATATCAATCCCTTTAAAAGGGCAGGATTCAGATATTTGTGTTGGTTGTTTAAAATAGCCTGAGAATGTGTATACAGTTAGGTTTAAGGATCTTCCCTCCCTTGTATTCTCCAATGTTACAGCTCCCTTCCTTTTCTTACAGATGCTGGCCTTGAAGTAAAAGTGAAAGACCCACCAAAAGGGATGATACCACCGGGAACTCAGCTGGTCAAACCAAAGACCGAACCTCAACCAAATAAGGTTAGGGGAGAATGAAATCAGAACTCTGATCTGTCAGGGATTTATTAATTTTCTTCATTGATGCTTCAAAGTAGCCATCAGACATCTGATATTTTACTTGATAGGAGTATTTGAATTCTAAATATCCCTAAATAAATTTGAAGAGTAGTCACGGACATTCTAATCATATCTAAATTGTAGGATCTGTACTTTTTGGTTTTTTTATAATGCTGAAGTAATTTATAGGCCTTGTGTACTTTCTATTATTGATAATTTACAAGTAACAAAGGCTATTGAAATTAAGTGTGTAAAGTTTGCAAGGTTAAAGTATCCTTTGCTGCTAAGAAAAATTAATTTCTTCAGCGTAAGTAGAGGAATGTTGGTAAACTACTTATTAAAAAGGAAACATTGGTAAAGAGTTTATATTATGCCCTTCTAAAAAGAAAAACAATAGCTCTTTTCTACTTTTTATCATGTCTTCAAAATTTATAGAGGAAATTATAAATATATATGAATAATTTTATAATTTTTTTTTCAGTAATGCATTTTTTAATACTTATAAAAGTTCAGTTTTTATAGATACATCACTGTTATTTGCAAAGTGAAAGTAGTTACAAATAATTATGGAAACATTCTCAGAATTAGTAACACTTTCAAATCTGTATAATTTTATCTCTTGTCACTTCATAAGATCTCTGTTTCATGATTTTCCCTGTCTATCTTTGCCTTTCTCAGGTTCGAAAATTTGTGGCCAAGGACAGTGCGGGGCTTCGTATCCGAAGCCACCCTTCCCTTCAGAGTGAGCAGATAGGCGTAGTGAAAGTCAATGGAACTATCACTTTTATTGATGAGGTAATTTGTAAAGAAACACTTGGTAGTAAACTTTGGACAGAATGTTTTTGTGTTGTTTGCCCAATAATGTTACTAAATTTTCTATTAGAATATATTTAAGCAGTTTGGGCAGTGTTTGAAAAATCATTTGGCAAAATGTGTTCATTGTATTTCAGACATTTCATTTATTTTTCTTTATCAATAAATAAGTGACAAAATTATATTTTTAACATGAAAGGAACTCAGTTAACGTAGTCAGAACCTGTACAGGTAACACAGTGAAAATGAGTACAGTGTTTCTTGAATTTTCTATTTGTTTTTAAATGTGTTTACTGTATTGCTTTAGCTTACACAGTATATTTTTCTCATAATGCAACCAAGTAACTTCTGGTTATTAAAATCTAAACTGAGGGGAAGGAAAACTTATGTCTTTTGGGAAACATCCAATTTTATGTTTAAACTATCTTAAAGTGTGATTTCTTTGAGCTTTTACTAAGTGGCACTGATTTTACAATCTCACCATGTGAATTATCATATTGCTTGGCATCCCTTGCTGCTTTTATCCTTAAAGATGCTCTCATACTTAACCTTCTGTAGAAACTAGATGCTTCATCCCGTGTCCACCATTATTTACTAGCTTTGTAGCCTTCCAGACTTTGCTAGCCTCATAGGAGTGACAGGAGGGCATGGTTGTTTTTGTTGCTTATCTCCCATAGATCCACAATGATGATGGTGTATGGCTGAGACTAAATGAGGAGACAATAAAGAAGTATGTTCCTAACGTGAATGGCTACACTGAAGCCTGGTGCCTCTCTTTTAATCAGCATCTTGGCAAGAGTCTTCTGGTCCCTGTTGACGTAAGTAAAAGGTGGTTTAAAAAGCATGATAGGTGCACTCTGTCCTCATCACAGGGCTTTCTTTAATTAAGGCTTCTCAGTTCTGAGGTAAACCACAACTAAATAACTTTTACTTTAAAAGTGCTTGAATTCTTGAGAGCTTCTGTGCAATGAAGTTGGAGTTGGGCAAGGCTAGGGATCTCAAAACTTATTATGATCCATCATAGGCAGAAAGTAGTCAATTAAAACTAGGTCTACTGAGTTCCTTTCAAAGAGGTAAGGAGTGAGAATGGTTGCATAATTTTTTTCCCTTTTTCATTCTCACTACTGTTTGGAATGAATTCCATGCTAAAATTTGTGAATTGAATTCCATGCTAAAATTTGTGAATTCAATGTTATCATACATTCAAAAACATGTATAACATATTTGTTTTTTATGTTTGTATTTTGTAATTAATTCTCTGTGTTGTGTCTAAGCTTGAATCTTTTCTTTCATGACTTATAATACTATTGTACTAAAATAAGATGGATTTTTAAACTTTTGCTGCTATAGGGTTCTAGCTGAGGGTAAATCCTATCTGAGAGAATTCATTGATCCCTTTTGACAAATGCAGTGGAATACTTAGAGCCAGTGTTCACAAGATTGCTATAATACATCACTAAATATAACAGTAACCCACACTCTTTTTATAATTTAAACAGTATATACTTTTTTTTGTCATTGCTCCTTATGACACTGGTAATAAATATCATTGTCAAAATTTTATTTTAAGAAAACCTTAGTTTTTTAAACAGTTGAATTTCTTCAGAATCAGTGCATAAAGTTAGCTTATTTCATTAAACTATTCAACATATTGTTTGTTTTTCTCCTTGATAATCCAGAGTAATATTCTCCAAAGGGGTGGTTATATAAGATGATTCTTTGTGAAGGGAAATAAGGGAACTCCTGTTCATATTTAATCATCTCATTCTTTTTTCTATTCTTTTGTATATGTTTTATAATAGTACAGTGGGGAGAGATACATCTATTAATATATATATATATATATTTTTTACTAATGTGTGATGAAAAAGTTTGGAGAGTTTTAGCCTACTACTGCTTTACTGAGGTTAAGCTAAACAATGACAAATCTATAACTAAAATGTAAAAGTTTAAATAAACCAGATCTTCTTAAATTTTCCTGAAGGTAAAATTTGTACCTGTAGGTAAAAATGAAAAGGAAATTGACCCTGTGGAAAAGAAGTACTACTCTGAAAGAAGAGATAATAATTCTCTATCGTATATGGCTAAAAAGTTGGCCTTAAATGGTTTGAAACCATTTTTCAGTTATAGTAAACAAATACTCCTCAGGATTATGAAAATTATATTTTAAAGGACATAACCTTAATAGCCATTTTATTTTACTTAGTTTATTTTTTAATATTTCACCAATTTATACTTTTTATGTATTTTAAATTCCTAATAGGGAATGTTATGTTTACTACCCACCCCCACTCCAAATTTTTTTCCCCACTTCCTTTGTTTTTTCATTTGAGGAGATGCTTTTGAGAGAGGAAGATAGAAAAAACAAGAGACTAAACAAAAGTAGAAAGGAAGAGCAAGAAGTGCTGTGTGTTGAAGTTCTAAATTCCATGCTTTCATTTTGGAACATTGGTGCTCTGTTATATGATATTTTTAAACCCCAGCTAAGAGACAACTTGTAGTAAGACTGTCTTCTTGAGGCCAGAGAGAGAAGGGCAGTGACAAAGGTAAGAGGGAAAGCTAAGTGGAGTGAACCACATAGATACTTGTTGATGGGTTTTCACTGGAATGTGAATGAAAAGGTTGTCACTGACTTATTTGAAAAATCTGGATGCAGTATATTAGAGATAGAAAGTAAAATGAAATAAGTGGCTTTTGGTATTTTCTAGTTTTTCTTTATGTTTAAGAATGACATGAGTTCTATTTTAATGTAAATAATTCAGAGTGGTATCATTAAGAAGGCTGAGGTTTTTCTGGTTCCTTTATTTTAAGGATGGTAGTGACTTGATATTTTTATAAATTAAAGGAAAGACACCAGTAGGAAAGGGGTAAATTACAGATGTAGATTAAAAAAATAATGTGAAGACTGAAATAGAAGGTGAAAATGGAATTACGGCTATATTTGGAGAGTTGTTTCTGTGAAGGAGGAATGGATATGTGTGGCAGTAGTTAAGTTTTTAGGGATAGAGATTGAAACAAACGAGTTAAGTTAAAGGGTTTAGAAATGTCATAAAACATGTGGAATAATGTTTGATTGAAATAGCAGAGGGATCTGATGGAAACTGCTTGTTCGGGCATTGTTGGCCACTAACTACTCAGACCATTGAATGGATCCGTTCTGGATGCTCTTCCTCCCACACAGCCCGAAGTGTCCAGAATTAAAGGACCCAAGAAAGCAGATTACAGCATTAACTGGAGTTGTCCAGGCTGCTGTGACAGAAAAATAGGGACGAAAAGGAATTCCAGATGCTAGTGGAAAAGCAACTGAGATCCCCAGCTGGGATCTGGCCTAAGTTAGAAATGTGAAAGGACAAATGGAAGGTCTGAGGGACTTGGAGGACTCAATAAAATCCTGTAACAAGTAGTGAGTGCACTGTAGTTAAAGAGCTGGAAGCATATAGACAGTTGGTGTGATCAAGTAGAATCTTTGAATTTGATTTTATAGTTAGAGCTTTTTATTGAATGAGATGACCCATTAATATGGCCTTGAAAGGGTAGCTGAAGTATAGTGGAAGAAAAGTCATTGGAACTGCCTAAGTCTAAGAACTAGAAGGCCAGGCAGTTGGATGGTCATCCACATGGACAGGAAGATATACATATGATGGCAGCACTGTGACCTGCAAGGTTAAAGATGAAAGTGAGTTTGTTTACCATTGGAGGATGGACCCATTAGATATAAAGTCATGGGACGAACGGGGGTAGTTTGATGTTGGATCGAGAAGGATAGAGCAGTTTGGGTGTAAAAAGAGAACAGGTGAATGCCATAAAGGTTTATATTTTATGTGGTGACTCAATGATAGGGGATACTGTGTAGCAAAATGAGCTAGTCTAGGGCTCCAAAGAGATCTGATATAAAGTTGCTTCAATACAGGTGTTAGATGAGTACCCATAGAGTCAGAACCTGGCATAGGTAAGAACAGGCTAGTTTTCCAAGGTTTTGTCTGTAGGGATGGGGGCTGGCTGCTTCTACAATCAGTAAGTTTTTAATGAGTACTTTATTCTGGAAGACTAAACATGGTCAGGCATACAGGGAACAGTGATATTCCATAGAGGGGATGATAATTCCATCTTATTCCCTAAAGGAACTAATACAACTAAATAAATGCATCTCCCTTTGCAACTCTTACCATATTTACTATTGGAAGAAAAACTTTACATCTATTCTCCGTTTTTACTTTAGCCCATTTGTGAATAAATCAACTATAATTCTGGTTTATAATTGCAAAATACTGCTAAATAAAGAAAATGAAATCTGGGAGATTTGAAATAAAATTAGAAATAACCAAGGATTAATGCTACTAACTTAAGATGCAAAAGTACTGAAAAGTTGCCTTCATATATCTTTACATCTACTTCTTCAACCGTATCTGGTTAAAACAGTTTTGCATTCACATCAGTGTGTGTACCTTATTTGGTCCCTGACTCAAGTGAACTGTCAGGAAGAGTGAGGGTGGGGGTTGGAAATGTAAACTCAGACTAAATATTTGATGAACTACTTAAAAAAAGGTTTCCATAAATAATTTTATTTAGAATAAACTTTAAAGTAATTTTTGTTGCACTGTCTTGTTTATTTACTCATATTATAGAACTCCTGTTTTCACTGTAAATATGTACCTTAGCTAAATTGTGGCCTGCCCAGCAATAGTTCTATTAAACATCATTACTAAGAAAGAATGACATCCTAACCGTAGAACAAATTGGACTTCAACTGTTTTGGCACTTTAGTAGTACTCTAGTGTAGAGATTAAATAGAATTAGACATTCATATTACTACTATGTATTTTTTAAAATATTTTTTAAATTAATGGGAAGAATAGGGATAAATATGAAGGATACCATTCTTTTTTTGTTAGGTGCTCGTGGTCTAATAGAACTTATTGCCCTTTTCAGAACACTCTGTTCAATTTTACATCTTACAGTCTTTATGTTGTTTTATTTGTCTAGAATGCTTTTGCTTCCATTGTTTTCCTTTTTAAATATTTTCCTGGTTGACCAAGTTAAAAAGCTCTTGACGTTTTTCTCCTGTGTATTTCCCAATAATGCTGTAGCTATTAATTCATTAATTGTTCATGTAGCAAATATTTATTGAGTCCTTATTCTGTGCCAGATACTAAGCTGGGAAGTAGATGTTGGGTGGAGAGGCAGAGGGGAGGGATACAAAATAAATAAGATGGAGTGCAGTTCTTGCTTTTGAGGCACTCACTATATAATGTGATAGACATACTATATTCATATAATTAATTTGCATTGTAATAAGTTGTAGAATTGCTTCACTTAGGAGGTGACATTTGAGGAGGTCTTAAAGAAAAGGTGCCAGAAAAATGGGAAGGAATTTCTAGACAGAGAAAGAACCAACTGACCAAAGTTATGGGACTGATAAATAGTTAATATGAGTGAGACAAAGAATTGGGAATAGAAAGAATGTAAGTACTGGGGAAATTAGGTTTTCCTCTCCCTTCTCAGGTAGCACTTTGTCTGTAAAAGTAGAAAAGGCTTACTTCTTTCTCCAACTACCCATGATGTTTAGTTTATTTTACTTGCCTTCAACCCATTTGTATTTATATACGTATGTCTTATTTCTGTTGTTAATCTCCTTAAGGGTAAGGACTCATTAAGGATCCCTTCTTACTCATATTTGCTTTTTCTAAAGTGTTAAGCATTACTTTTTGCTTACAGTAGGCTTTCAACATTTGTCGAATACTAAATTTTAATTCCTGGCATCATGCTGCTTGAAATAATTCCTAGCACATATATGCTCCTTACCTTAATTCTGTCACTT